GGGGGCTTATAATCAGATGTATTAAGACAGAATCCACCAGGAAATTGAGTAACAACATTATAATTTTCAGAGGACAAAAACCTTGTACCAGAATAATTAATGAGCATTAATATTGCATTATTTTCTGCATTTTTCAAGGGCTAAAGATGTAATTAGTTATCTGTAATGACACCTAAGAAAATTTCTTATTGGAGGCCGAGAAAATGAATGTCCAATTTCACAAAATTGCATCTTACACATGAAATTTTCAGAAGTTTACCTGTGTTTTCACAATTCTTGTGAAATTTGACATTCATTTTCTCGGACTCCTATGAGAAATTTTCTTTGGTGTTATTACATATGACTAATTACATCTTTAGGTCTTGAAAAATGTAAAAAAAGAATGCAACATTCTTTCAATTATTCTGGTGCAAGATTTTTGGCCACTGAGAATTAAAATTACTCAATTTCCTGATGGATTCTGTCTTAATTTTCTTTGTTTTCAGGTAGAATGTGGGCCTATGATTGCAGAGGTGTTATTTTAAGTGGGGAGTTTATACATGTAAGCGGACGTTTTTAAAGGGTGTTTTCTGGAACAACATATCAAGAACAGAATAATGTGGACATCAAGATATTAAAATTAGATATTACCTAGTCATCCTGGAGGGAACTTGAGCTTTCGCCCTCCTAAAACGTGTAAATGGATGTGATAGACAGACTGACAGCCATGTTGACCATTATTGATTACCACACGATACCCTTCCTGGTCAATACCCTTCTGGGCTGCTACTTTCTTTGCAACAATCATGCAGTGACCAAGAAGCTGAAAAAAAAAACATAGTCATTCACAAAGCTGTCATTAAGGGCCATAACCCACAACACCTTTTACAGCTGAGCTCACTTCATTTTACAGGTGATCGAAGTGGAAGCTAGGTGACACTATGAAGTTCTGGGGAGATGTTACAGGTGAATCTTCATTTGCTACGGCTGCTCTAAAAATTTATGACAGCCCTGATACTTTTTCATTATAAGGATTTCTCTCTCAAAGCGACTGGGTGCAAAAAGGAGTTGAAAGTGAGAGAACAGGTTAACAGGATCCAGAACTCCCCATTTCTAGCCTGATCTGTGATTCCACTTTTCCTTACGAAGTCTCAAATCTTTGGGCAGAGTGCAGGTATCACAGCTGTCCATAGGGAGGTCTATTATGTCTATGAAACTCCCAGGGAGGGGAGGGGGGTACTTGAGTTAATTTTTGCCGGGTATGTGCCACTGGCATCTCAGAACCCCTACCCCATTATAGTTTATTCTGTGGCCATATTATAAATTAATTCTTTGTCACTTTGGGAAAAAAGTATTCTTGCAATCCCAACTTAGCCACCTTACAAAGCCTTTTAACTTAGTCACCCTGAAATGAACTGACACATTTGTGAAAACTTAATGTGGTGCAAATCTTTCTATTTTTAAATCCCTACAGATCTGAATTTTCTGACACCCAAAAGCCTGAATATGGGCAACTCCATTCTAGTAACTCTTATAAAAAATGCAACCTCATAATAGTCAATCCAGCCATGAAAATGTGACCCCATCCAATGACACATACGCATTAGCCTACTTCTAGGAAGTAACCCCTCCCAGATGAAGCTATAAAGGGGCCAGAGTAGGGGTAGGTTTTTAGTCAATAGTTCGACGTACGATACCCTCACAGGGAAACCAAGCACTATTAGTCTGGTCTCATGGGTGTCAACTTTTTTTAAGGTTTGACTCTATACTAATGGGCTAATGGATGAAGGGTGCCCATGGCACCTTTTCCTAATTGGGGTAACAACTCTCCGAGGATATTAAATAATTGATACATCCAATAAATTGAGTTAGGACACAGTGTGAGCCAACGAGCCATGCGAAAGAAAAATAGAAAAAAATAGAAAAAGCGGTAATACAAAAAAAAAATAACCAAAAGCTAACCGTAGTAAATGAGTGTTTAATGACAAAAAGCACTTAACCCTAATTCGTAAAAAAAATTTTAACCCAAAACATCACTTAAACCTAATTCGTAAAGTGAGTCTTTAAGTCAGTGAAATGAGCACTTAACCCTTATCAGTAAAAGTCGATCAATACTGCATAATTCTGCAAATATTCCATCAGCAAAACCTCGCGAACTAAGCAGGAAACATTTTTCATGCATTTACAATTGCCTAAAACTCTATTTTCCCCCAAAGTTCGTATGGCTCACTGGCTCGGAAATTGTCCAAAAATTTAACTTGCAGTACTGTAATAGCAATATCCTTAATTTTTAACAGAGCAGTGCTGTCATATAAAAATCAAGGGTAGTTAAAAAGAAACAAGATGGTAAACATACTTGTTCATCCTCATCTATAGCATCAGTTATCTTTCTTATTTCTTTCTTTGGTATAACCAGGAAATGAACTGGGGCTTGTGGATTAATGTCCTCAATGGCTATGCACTGAAAATAAAGCAATCCAATTGATTGTAAACAAAAGGTAACAATGTACCTACTCACTTGTTGCTATTTCTGTTTATAGTTTATCCAACTTTATGGTTGATAATGGATACAGTATGAGGATACTGTAAATGCTCGAATTAGCGCCCGGGGCGCTTATTTAATTTTCTAAGGCAAGAGGGGGGCGCTAATTCGAAGGGGGGTGCTTATTTGAATGGGGGCACTTATTTCGTTTATCAGTATTTAGCCTCAAAATGACACTATCTTTATTTCTATTTAAAACCAAACTGCAACATAAAAATGGTCTCGTAATTCCAGGAACTTTGAAGAAAGTGATAAGGAGCCGGCGATTGGGAGCAAAGTTTTACGAGGAACTAAATAAAGTGAAGCAGCTATGTTCTCACATGGATATTTCTGTCAAGGAAATGAGAGTCATGAGAAGCAAACCCATCTGACTTTGTAAGGAAATTACTGTTTATACTATTTAACAATGTCACATTTCATTAAAAGAACTGTATAGACCGCATACGTCTCGTATATCGTACCGAAACTCATTTTTTCTCGGTGGTGGGGGCTCTTATTTGAAGGGGGGAGCTTATTACAAATTTTGAGCCTTAGGAGGGGCGCTAATTCGAAGCGGGGCGCTTATTTGAAGCTGGGCGCTAATTCGAGCATTTATGGTATATAAAAATTCCCTGTTAAGAAAATGTTGGAGTTGAGAGGGGGGGCAGGAAGGAGACTGTGATATTTAAAACCTCTGTTAACTTACGATAAGGCTCTTTCTTTGAGAATAAAGGAAGAAAAAGAATGCCTGATTTATACAGGCCAGCTTCCCCCCC